GGTCACGAATTCATCCCTTTGCACAACAGAAAAATATATATTCGTTGTAAAAGTCAGCTATTTTACCAGTTGGAGTAATCGCGGCGATAAATAAGTATTTTTAATTTACTGCTAAACTTTATATGTATATTTATTGTATGAAATGAAGTTGTACTCTGCTGGATTTTATATCAGTTATTGAGATTTTTCTAACGGCGATAACGAGTTGGCAAGATTGCAAAAATACGTATCAAAATTAAATACATCAGGCAGTTTATCTCGTACTTTTATACCACAGATCGCCGTCTACCGAATAGTAATGTTTTTATTTTGACGTATGAAGAAGCAACCGCGAGTTACGTTGGACTCACAAAATTAATATATAAAGATATTTTAGAATCTCGTAGTTGTCATGGATTGAATATTTTACGTGACAAGATGATCATTATACGCTGAAAAGACGGAACGAGCGCGGAATCGCGGTGGCTGTTACAGGCGCCAATGGGAATTTCCGATTTTGAAAAAAGGTGGCTGCTCGCCTGGCAGTGGTGGTCATCTATCCTCTAACGTCTAACATATTGCTACACATAATAACAATATGGTTCACATAAATTAATATACTGGTAGGTAGTAGAATACTCTAGACATAATGGATATTCGATCGTTGTTGCTTGCTCCAGTTGCCTGTATTGCCAATGAATTTTATTAATCTCAGAAAATATACACAATTATCTGAATACAAGTAGTATTTTTGTCAATAGACTCGACTATTATCGTAATATCATGGTACGAATGATAGAAAGCGTCAGACAACTCCTTGGCTATCTTTTCATATGTTCATTTGTACTAAGTGTACAATTTTAATAAACTGACTGTGTCACAAGTTGCTATTATTTTTTTTTTTGATAGCTATAAACTATCAAATACTTTGTGTAAATATGCTGTTGGTTTGTGGCTTTATTCTGATATTTCTATTGAAGCTTATTTATTATTTTACTGGGTTTTAATAAACTAAAACAAAAATGTGTTATTTTCGATTTTAGAATGTATTCGGAATAGTTTAGTATTCGGAAATGGCCATCCCTGCGGCTCCAATACTATTTACTGCCTTTAAGCAATCTCTTCACCTCATTTCCCGTGTCGTACACATTTGAATAACCAGTCTTTCCGAAAGGAGAAAACATGATTCATTTTAAAATGATTGAGTTCGGGTCCACGACTAAGAGTGAAAATCATAATGAGAGACACACTGAGTCAGTGTGAGCGTGCGTGCTTCAATTTGTATTTATACTTTTGGGTGAGCAAACACGTACTACTTCTTTTATCGATACCTTTCCATCTAAAATATGTACGCTTCAAACCTTACTTGAGGTTTTGTTTGCTATCCCGATTCTATAATCAGTTATTTTCTTCTGTTTTATCTTTATCTATTATTTTATCGTCTACTGCTGATTATGGAGTCGAAATAAACTTATGCTTATACAATATATAGTTTTGCATAACAATATCGTTATCCTGCTAACAATGCTATTTACTGCCTTGGAATCTCGTTGCCTCTTTTTCCGTGTCGTATTACGTCGTTACAGAACAGAAACTAATAATATCTAATTCAATGGATAATAACTATTGTTTTACAGAATGACGCGTATGCAAAATCACCCCAAGCACTTATTAAGCCCGACTGCCCGTGAATCACTATAATCAATGGTTTTACCGTCTTTTTGTATGGTGACGTTTTTCAGATACATTGTTCCCTTTTAAAATCATGCTATATTGATCGCTACAAAGAATTGAATTGTACAAAGCGTCATTTAACCGAGAGATACAATCAACCGAATATATTAATATTTCGAATTTTCTGTTCTAAAATTATCAGCCGACTTACTCTTTCAAGAACTAACTCGGGTGAAATAAAATATACAAACGCAAATAATAACAATCAAATTTTCTTCGGATTTGCTAGAACGAATCCTGCCCCAAACAACAGGATAACTTAATTTTCTTTTGCCTGCGACATTTTCCCTCAACTATGTAACAAACAAATATTCGCGTTAGCACTCAAAACTCATGCTCAAGTTTGTGCTTCGAAAACAAACTTTTCCAAAATCTCACCTAAAAACAACAGTACTTGAACAATGGAATGATATCATTCTATAAACAGAATTACGCGCCAGAGAACAAAAGCTTAATTTATATTTTGCCAAAGTGGTTACAGTGCAGTGGGAGTTTGCTTGAAGTACCAATTTAATTATTTCAACTCATTGGTCATGAAAACTACAAGTATATATTTTCAAAACAAAAATTTTCTAAATCTAAACTGAAATTTAAGTTTCATGAACAGTTCTAGCACAATTGAATGATTTCAACCTACCAACAGTATTACGCGATTAATTTTTATTTTGCTCAAAGTGGTTGTAATGTGGTAGAAATTTGCTCATAGTTTTTATTGAGAATCCATTGGGTATGAATAGTACAATCAGATCACATTTCTAATTTTAAGACAAAAAAATTCTAAATCCAAGCTTAACATTAAGTTTCATAAACATTAATCAAACAATTAAATGATATCAATCTATCAATAGCATTAAGCACCAGAAAACAAAAGCTCATATTACGTTTCGCCTAAAGTGGTTACAGTGTGGTAGAAATTTGCTGGAAGTTATAATATAATTATTTTAACGAGCTCTCGTTGGGCATGAAAAGTACAAATGAATCACAAGTTTGTCATTTTTTTTCTAAAAATTTTCAATATCAAGCTCACCAATAAATTTCATAAATAATAATCAAACAATTAAATGGTATCAATCTATCAATAGCATGACGTGCCTTTAAAAAAGCTTAATTTACGTTACACAATGGTGGAAACTATCCCAAGGTAATACTGTAGTTATCGTGTAAATTAATCTTCTCATTTCTAAACTATAAAAAAATCGTATGATTTTGTGTAGCCAGAAACATTTATAGGGTTTAAACAGTCCTTTGAAGTTATCACTCGGAATTTTGCCTGAAGTACTACTTCCTAATCAATACAAAGATGGTAACAAGAAATCATTGGGCACAAAAAGTACCTGCGTATCCTAGCACTGAATTGTTGCTGTAGTTTCAAAAACAAAATCACCTTTGCTTTATAACCGACGAACTAATTATAGGTATCATTTTGATGCGTTTTTCATTCCAAATACGCTACTAAGCTTCCAATTTAAACGAAGCGCAATATCCCATCTCGGATTTGCTTACCCAATTTAAACCTCGGCCGAGGTCGTAAAAATAGATTTCGAATTTGCGATTTTCCCTCTTCGATGAGGAAATAGTTAGATTCAATACGCTAAGTATCGAGCAATCGAATTAACCAAAGATGTAAGCGGATATGAACCTCTTCTGCCCTTATAAGCCCTATTTAAGTTCACCCTAGTTCAAGTTCACGCACAGATGTCGTCCGTGTGATATTTAAGCAACTTGGAAATACGATACTTCTGATTTTTATCGGAAGTTTATTCGTTTTTAAACGAAGTATACAATTACACACAAAATAGTACACGAGATACCCACAATTTCCTGTTAGACATTGGATTAAACTGCTTTATTTGATGTATATCAATTTGCAAGGGCAACGTTATTTTTTGAGACATTGGCCACGTTTTAAACTTTTTAATAGCAGGATGTCGTCAAAGTCCTTTTACAATTTCAATTTTGTTGTGAAGTCGGTTCTCAATATATCTTAACTAGGTTTGTTGTTTTTTAATCAGTAATTGTTCAAGTACTGTCCCGATCGAAAAGTTACAAACGCTCAGAAATACGCTAACAATTTAATACATATTTATAGACATGCCAGGAGATATTGTTTGTAACAAGACTTAATATCATTAACACAATATTGTCAGGAAAGAGATAAATGGAAAAAGTTTCGCAAAGCGGAAGTTAATAAAAGCATTTGCGAATAAATCAGATTACTGTAATAAAATACCTCTTAGTTCTAAATTACTCATTGTAATACCAACTGTAAATGAAATGATCCAATTTTAAAATGATCTCATTTTTTGTCATGGAAGTCAACATCATTACAACCAAAACAGACATTAGATATCTTTTTTAAACTCCTGCTCAGAGAGTTCAAGAATTTGATATCATACGTTCTATAATACGATGCGATCATGTTATAAAATGATCACATTATCCTTCGGACAACGTTGGAAGGTAGTAGGTTCGAAACATAAGATGTTCATGCGGATGTTCTGGAACAAAAGCATTGAAGGAATAATACCAATTAGATTTATACTATAATAAATCATCATTTGTTGTAAATTATTTCTTTCAATAACAATTGTGATGCGAAATGATCCAATTTTTAAATAGGTGTGTGAAGTGTGAAAATATATGGAACTTCTAACGATTAGTCTTCTGCGACAGCCTATTTTCAATAGTATTATCTTAGTGGGATTTGCAAAATCTGAGGTTTCAAACATGTTCCTAATTTTTGTCGCAAAAGAAAACATTATGACTCTACCCAGTTGGGAATTTGATACCATAAGGTCTATGATACGATGCGATCACGTTATAAAATAATATTGTTACCCTCCAGACAACGTTGGGAAGTAGCGCGTACGTAACATGAGAACTAGGTCCTAGGACCATAAGGAAGTTCCTCAAATGTTAATAATATAACACGATATTGCTGTAGATATCTGTTTTTAATTTGTGTGCCTAGTAAAAACAATATGGCGTTTCCATACAGTCTTTTTCGCCAAACAATTTTAAACAAACATTTAGTATATCATAAGTGATTCAACAATCTTGCTTCACACTAACACTAATATCTTTTTGTAACGTTTCGTCTGACCAAGGTCTTTCTCATACATACATATATTTATGTTAGTGTGCAGCGAGACTCTTGAATCACTTAGGATATGAATCTTCGCTCTTGCCACTGCGTCCTTGCATTATAAGCATACGAATCCACTGCCGCAAAGTCTTGTAGAAACCCAATATGTAGCATTTAGTTAGCATTTATGGTATTTTCACAGCGGACTTCAAGTAGCAAGGGACGAATGGAAGTTATTTTTGTCGCGGAAGCCAACATTATTACATCCAATACAGACATTAGATGGTCTTTCTGAACTCCTGCACAGAGAATTAAAGAATTCGATACCATACGATCCATGATGACATGTGATCGCGTAATGGAACAATCTTATTACCCTTCAGACAACGTTGGAAAGAAGTAGGTTCGTAACACAAGAACTATGATCTTGTAGACTTGTGAAATTTGGCGTATCATTAGGTTTAACCTCTTAAATTATTGTGTACAATTACACCAGCTTTAGCTTACAAAGTAGAGGCGAGAAATCAGCTCTAGGAAATTTACGGTTCCGTTTACCCTGTATCATGTGAATTATAGCTAGGAAGTATACCATTACATAATACCATTAAAATATTTTCAATTAATAATTTAATCATTATCCCAATCACCCAAAGGAAATGAAGCAATTTAAACTCATTACCAGATTTGCCACCAAACGAGCGGTGTTGCTTTAATAATGGATTTAAATGTAGTAATCTATTTAATTACTGTTACAGTAAATGATTTTAATTGGAATTGAACGAGTTTGGCAGACATAGTGTGAATGACCTAATCTGTTACTATATTTAGAAATTGTTAAACTTTAAAATTGGTTTGTTTTAATTTAAAATTCAATGTTGTACCGGGAAGTGGTTGCCAGAAATCCAGGAAATTTGTCACACAGCTATTTATCTTTAAATAGAATAACTTATATTAGATTACACTCATAGATACTCAAAATGTCGTCCGTGCATTTCAGAGCAGTGTCTTAACCTAGAAGTCCAAGCTTGTGTACCATTTTGAAGGTTAACTCGATACCGTCCCAATTCAACCTACAACTATACACATTTATTCGTGATCTCATCTGATCTTTAAATTTTCTGCTTTTTAGCGACCACCCTGTATTTACTGATCTAGACCTATGTTCGCGGTGATGGTGTACAAACGTTTCACACAAGATCTGGATACAAATACTATGTGAATTAACTTCAGCTAGGAATTAAATTTTGTATATATATATGACATACCAGGCCAAAAAGGCTAAATTTTATTTGAATCTCGTTTCTAGAAAATGCAAAAAAACAATTGTACATGCGCACTTCAAAATGAAATATTTGACAGGGTGAATCTTCACTTGGTATTTCTGTAGCCATTTTCAAATGGAATTCTTGTGAATTTATTTCAAAAATGCTATGGAAATATCGCGAATGTGAACTTTACGATTTTTAAACTATGTTGAAATTTGGTTCCATTACATTTGAACCCACGTACATTTGAACCCATGACAATTGCACCTGTATGCTATTGCACCTATGGAATTTTTTTTGTTTCACGGATAGTTAAACCCATACTAACCCTAACCCATGGGTTTTAGCACCCGCATATAGATTGAACCCGTGGATATACGCATGGGTTCAAATGTACATGGGTTCAAATGTACGGTCACCTTGAAATTTACATGACGCATGACTTACGCACGTTACTAATTTTATGACTAGCATTGAGAGTTGTCGCATTATATTACAAGCAACTAAGGAATTACGAATGTGGGAATAAAATAGTCTAGACATTTCAACATATCATGTATCGTTCCTAAATTATGACCAATGGATGTAAAGTCACACAAACGGTAACGTTTAGTCAGAAATATCACTCAGGTGCGAATATCATAATCATGAAATTAAAAACTAAAATAATTTTTGACCTAAAAACATATATCGTTTTATGATTACGTGTTTGTCAGTACAATGACTCAAACAAGATTAATTAGGTTGACGGTAACTCTCATGTTCACAATGGTTGAGTTATTCCTTTTTCGTAGTCACGGTGCAGAGAAGTTGATTCTAAGATGAAACTGTCTCTAAGATGAATTTGTTAGGGCTAAGAATACAAGTCATCAATATAAACCAAGTTACGCAAACGAAAGAAACCCAAAATAGCTAAGAAACATAAAAAAAATATTTTAACGCTTTAGATTTCGTAATCAAATTCAGTGGTGCGTGTACGTTCAAAAATGAGGCTTTAAACAAGCTGATTGTAACAATTTGGGCTGGCTGTCTAGGCATTAACGCTTATTAAGATTTATGCTTTCAACCTCAAGATATAAAATCTTCTGCAACTTCGTATCCAATAACTTTCATCCACTATCTATAATCTAGTAACACAGTCAACGTTAGTTCAATCTATCTCTTCAACTTATACAACTGAAAGTTATACAAACATATATTAAAGCCGACAGGTTTCGATAATAAACCAACCACTTCATAACTTAACTAATCCGTACTGGTCCATCAGGAAATCATCATCTCGTATTACCACGGTAAAAGCTTATGCTTTGAGCCTATCGCTCAATCCTCTTTAACATAACACAAGTAAAGTAACACTCCTTGAGGCAAAGAGCAAAGTAAACTATGGGATTAAAATAACTCTTTTTCCTTTATAACAAACTACTTCGCCAACGCGTTTAAAAAGAAGGCAAGTATAATTATATAAATAACACAGCGTATTGACTGACGACAATTTCATTACGTTTCTCCTAAATTATTGGTTTCGAGGGTGACGTCACACTCGTTATTTCACAATTCGGCGGGAATTTTCGTATTAAATTTTTTTTATTCGTTTATGATGTCATAGATACGTTTTGTAATCAAATGTTAAATAAAGTATTTTCTCATTCTATACATAGAATCGCTACTTTAAAATATATTATCCAGTATTTCTAGATTTTCACCGGATTAAAGAATCGAATTTGTAACTGAAATTTACAAAAACCTTTCGTCAAAAAAGTTTGAAATAACAATCCAATAATACAGCTTTATTTAATTTACTTTCTTTCCATTTTGCATTGATCGCTACTGTTATATAATCGAATAGTTGGATACTATACAAATCTATGCTTGGCGAATATTTTCGATTTTGAGTTTTTAAACCAATGTTTTTTCAACAATTTTATAAGATATGCTAAATTTTTACGTTTTTACGAATTATACGAATCATGATTTCAATTCAACAAAGTTAAACTATGATTATGTGATTAATAGATAGATACAAGCTGCAAAGACTCAACTATTCTAAAAATATTATCAAACGTTCCTTTTGCTGTAGTTGAGATAAATTACTGCTGCGGGCAAAATTATATCAAAAACAGCTTTTTCTTATTTTTGTTTTTATCCAAGTTATAATAATAGTTACTCATACATATCTAATAAGTAAGATTTTATAAAATTTCTATTTCGCCGATAATTTTGATTATTGTAATCTTAATTAATATTCTTGCTAAAAAAATCACTTGATGTGCCAGGTTTTACCTAATAAGTTATAACATTATTCTTGATTTTGCTACAAAATTAGCAATTCTTACAGTAAAAGACTAATTACTACTATCTTAGCATACAATACTCTGTATTTTTTAAAACGTTCCATTTTCTATTTTACATAAATCACTGCTGTGAGCAAAATTATATCAAAAATAGCCAATAAAGTAATAACGAACATTACTCATTTGAAATGACGTAGTCGGCCAAACCGGTTTTTATAAATGACACATTAATTACAGATTTTATCATCGCGACTCTTTAAAATTTGAAACCATTATTTCTAAGAAATCTCTCGTGACTATTTCAAAATATTTATAATCCCTAACGGCTTCCGAAATGATCGATTTATAACTGACCTGGGTTATATCTAATTGAGTCGAGTATTACTTTGAACGGAAGAAAACAATCAACTAACTATTAATCTGAGCCAAATTTTGTTTCGTCAAATTCATCACTTTTGCTGAAATTATCGTTTAAAAGTGGAGATAGCACTGGTAAAAACGTCTTAAAGTGTATATATTTATATCTAATCGGGCAAAGTATTACTATTAGTCGTAGCCTGGCTAACATTAGGGCGTAGCTGGGAATGACTATTTTGAATTTAAAAAAAATTCAAACTTTCTATGCACGTTTCTTCAAAGGACCCTGATATATATAGATTTGCTGCTTTCGTATAGATGTGTTTTAAGATGCCAGTCACCAGGTAACATTAATACAGGACTTGAAACGATTCAAAGAATACTGTCCGGGGAATCAGAAAAGCGTATAAAACTACTATAAAATCTTCTGCTTCTAGAAATTTCATTTGAAATTACAAATGACCATATAAAGTAGTAAGATTCAAAATTTGAGCGATATATATTTAGAACGCGACTAAAATGCGGATAAAATATTAATTGCCTATGGCGGTAGGAGTGGTTACTCATTAGCTAATGCTATAGATATATATGTGTCATTCCTGCCATCATGAAATTAAATACCAAATGATGAATTGATTAAAAAATTTGAACATATTTACTGGTTTTCGCTGAGTTGAGGGAAAATTTTTTTTGCTAAAACCACATGGCAAGAAAATTTAAAATGAATGTTCTAATACGGCGATTTTTGTCGGTGGGTCATATAACCAACTTCAGACATCTGGCTGATTGGTCCATTGGTTGCAAATAGAAACGATTTACACAAAAATGAGTGTTTATCAAAACAATCCATATATAAGCAATTTGTGTTTAATTATTATCAACCAATTATTAACCACAGAGCCTCGTACAAATATACTAGCATCGCTCTGTTGCATGAAGCTATTTGATTTTCAAATATTCTTACTTACGTTTACGTTTTCGCAATACAATTATCCATATTTATGAATATAGCTGCATATAATAGTCAGTTATTTGTGTTGGGAAAACACGATACGAAAGTTCGCACAGACACGTTTTGTTTTGTCAATAGTGGATTAGTGGATTTGATTATTAACTTCAATTTGAGACAACAAAGAGCATTTGTTAGTCCGGATAGGCTGTGTATAGATAGCGTTTGGTATGGTCGACCAGAGCTGTGGAAACAGGAGCATTAACGATTGTCTCCGATCCTGACTTCGGATTAAGCATATTTCTGATTTTTACTCCAAACGAGAAAATCAAAATTTTCAACAAGAACTTAGGGGTTTGTAAAGCTGTAAGCCTTCCTTAACTTAGGCTGCTAATTAGGAACGGTAAGCAACGGTCCCGAGTCCCAACTAAAAGCCAGAAGGTATATATACAATTTGATCCCGAGATATTTTGCCTGAGACACTAATACATTGCGTTTGCAAAATGATTTTAGAAAACAAGTGCGTTTAAAGGGCAGGGTA